ATTCAGAGTGTGACATGATTGTACAGCGTTGACATGCTTCATGGTGCATGGCTCAGCTGGGTTTAGAGAGAGATCCTCAGATAGGATCGCGACACCTAGTGCAGACAGCCATAGACTTCTTTCGAGATCATGACATGGCATACATGACTAATGCATTCATCAATTGGTGACAACATCATGAGAAGTTGATCATGGCGCATTACATTAGTGCATGCAAGACGGTGGACGGTACGAAAGAAACCCTGGTTAAACAATCTGATGTCCTGTGTTTAATATTCACAACTTACATGCATTGAAATGCCATACACGCGTGCAAGTCCGCCCTAACCTGAATAAGTCGGACTTTCTATGTAAAAGAACCATCTTCACGACATGACCCAACTCCTTCCAAAGACATCCGAACTAGTCGGAGGACCAGGTTCGTCCAGGGGGAAGCTCACATGTGGTAAAGGCCCCTCGCGATCGTAGCATGCCGAACCTGATGATCCGAGCATAGATTCCAATATGAAACCACCATGGCCAATGATTGCAGCCACTGCTGCAAACACTGCAAAAGCGGTCCTTGATTCTAGCTGATAACTGGTACCTCTGCCGTCTCAGCAGCGGGTTCAAGTTCAGCCTTCTCGCCATCCTTTTCTGCACTCTGCACTTCCTCTCCACTCTCCACCCCTTTCTCCTCCGCCCCATTCAGAACCGTGCTCTCCTCGCCCGCGCCCGTTTCCCGCCCCCCAACGCTCAGACTCTCAATTCCAGAAACCGCGGGCGCCGTCCCGTTACTCCGCCCGCCGTCAACGTGCACCGTCACCATCTTTCTCAGCGGTTCCAGCAACGCTTTCGTTTCCACGAGACCCGCGCCCCCGACGTAGCACCGCCCAAAGCACAGAACACAATACGGGGCGGCGACGTCGACAAAGGCCCTAACGAGAGCGAGGAACAGCGTTTGCTCGTTCTCGCGCAGGCCAATGCGCGTCGCGTGGTAGCGCTGCAGGGCCTCCGCGACTTGTCGCAGCCCGTCTTGGAGGACCGACGCGAGGGACGAGCGGAGCGCCGTCGGGGCACAGTGCCGGAGCTCGTTCAGAGCGGCGAGGACACCTGCGCACGTCGTGAAAAGGCTCAGAGAAGACCTGCAGCAGCAACTGCATTTCATCGTTCGAAGGTTATCCTCGCTGTGCGCCAGCGTCCTCGTTGCATTCAACGAGCTCCGGCACTTTCTCCTTCCAGTCTGAGATCCAGTGACAGGGCTTGGGAAGCAATGACAGGAGCTCAGTCGTTGAATACTTAAGGTGGTGCGCGACCGAGACTCAGGACCTTCTCGTGGTCACTGAGTAAAGAACGGCTTGTAACAGGTGGAGCGGGCCTATTGGCTTGAGTTGAAAAGCTGCTAAATTGATAGTTCAAGTCGGGGAATGGAGAAGTCCACCGATCCTGATCAAGGACATTATTATAGTCTCCTGGCGAGCTGGGGATCATTTGACACAGGTCCAGGTGAATGCGGTGACTTCGTCTTCTTCACCTCTAAACCTAGTCTCCTGGTCAGCAAGCACTCTTTCAACCCCGTCGCTTCAAACGAAAATCCAGTAGGAGCCAGCAAAGACTCACCATTCACAAACGCGGCCAGGGGCGGGTGCTCCATCAACGAATACGGGGGCGCCACGTCCTCCCCGTTCTCGTCTCCACCAGCGGACCGAGTTCCGCCCTTGATGGCCGGAAGCGGAACCCACCGGTGGGAATTGAGCACATGCTGGAACTGGTCGACTGCAAGGCCGATGTTGCGGGAGAAGAGGCCGAACACACATCTGCGGGAAAGCAAAAGCAAGGGTGTGCCGGAGAGGAGCGTTGAGTATCTGTTTGTCTGGCGCTTTCGAGTCGCTTAGCTAGCAGAGGGTCGTTTGACTTAGAAAACTATTTGGATGGGCTACAGCGTGCGGGAGATGAACATCATACGGAACATAGAGCCGGCATTACAAACGGTCAACATCTGAAGGAGGGAGGCGAGGAAAGAGACAACAAAAGAGCGGGCCGCTTTTGAACCGTCATGCCGGAGGCCATTCAATGCAGTCACCCAGCGCAATTGTGATCTCGGATCCGACAATCGGCAAACAAGGGCGCAAATGATGCGGGTTACTCTGCGATGCAGATGAAAGCCAGACAATAAGTTTGTATCGGCCACAGCTCCCGCCGCATGCGAGGAACGCCAGAACCACGTCCGCAATCCCCTGTACTTTGGGAACTAATCTCTATCACCAGCTGACAGTAGAAGAACGCCTGAGAAGAGATTAACCGTCAATCCTCGTTCACAGGCCTCTTAACGAATCTTAGGAACAAACTCAAGAAGAACGAGCGGGCTTGACTTACGCCTCAAAGAGTGGTGGAAGCAGCCCACGAAAGTCGAGGCCGACGCGCCCCAAACTCATGCCGCAGTACTGCACCAGAAATGTACCAACCAATCATGGAGTGCGCTTTGGAAAGTATGTATAAGATGATCAAGCTACACAGCAGAGTCCACGGAGCAAGACACCTACTCTCAGTGAAGTCCTGGGGAACCCCCTTGCCGAAGCCCTCCGAAAAAACAGTCAGTGTTTGCGTACGATCAGCTTCGGCCTGCCATGAGAAAATACCAACTCCCAGAAACTTGAGAAGACGTTCGCCGGGGATAGGCATCTGTGTACAGATTTACGGATGTGACCCTTCAATACCGTTCAGGCACACACTTCTCACCACATCCACTATGAAAGGCACTACATGCGGTGGTTTACAGGGTTGTAAATACGCGTTGTCTGACGATGGGTGTGGCACATGCAGATACCCGATACTGTTTGGTATCAGAGACCGGATTGAAGGGCTGACCCAAGAGACGAACAGCACCAACAACTTCGCACGTAATCGAACTGCAATGGAGGTAGCCGGCCGACTACACCGAAAGTAGACTTGGGAGCCGCTTTACTTATAAGTCGCAAAAGTGCTGGAGAAACGTTAGCCCGCAGACTCACCATGCAGTGGTCCAACACGTTGCTCAGCGGGCTGCCCTCCGTGATCCTGGGCAGCATGTGCTGGAGGACTGTCAGGTATGCCGTCACGCGGTGCATCGCCCAGCTGTACACGAGGCCCCCGTCTGCAGCCTCCTCCTGCGGGTTGGGAGTTTTGAAAGGTGAGAGGGATCCCTCCAACCTGGGCGCTGTTCTAGAGGAACTGCTGTGCCGTGTGGAGCGCAAAAGGGACGCCGGAACGGTGGAAGAATGTGTCTAGGAATGAGAGGGCTCCGTTGGGGATGGGCGCTGTTTGGGCAGATTGCACCCACAGGTGGAGCGAGCATAAACCAACGAAACGGTGGAGACAATTCGGAGGGGTTAGAGAGCGCCAAGGCTGACGTGGCAAAGTTGGATGCAGGACGTGGCAAAGGTGGATGTGAAAGAGGCGGCGTGCCCAGAATCTATGCAGGCAGGTGATGGGCGGGGCTGACAGATTTCCCTAAAATTGAATACTTATGGCCAGAGTAAAATCGTTCAGGAGGTGGACTTTGGACAGTCCTCAAGCGTCAGAAGGCGTACTGTGACCCGTGTTCTGAAGTGGAGTTCGGCAGGGCAGCGGAAATTGGGTTCCGTATCGTGACCAGGCTTCACTTCGAGAGGCGGCTTGTGGCTAGTAGCCTAGTAGTGTACTCTGTTTGTGAATTGTATTTCTTAGACTTTGACAAGTTGCGCTTTTGGAAGAAGCGGGACGGTTGGATTGGGCTGCCTCAAAACAGATTACGAGCCCTCTCCGAATTGTGCTTGGCCGGTGATCCGAGGGGACACAAAGAGAAGACGCCAACTGTCGCTGGATCTGTAGCAGCTATCGAAACCAGGCTTCAAAATCCCTTTTCAAGTCCGTTTACTCAGCTCTTGATATTGTCGGTATAGGGTTCTACACGTCGGTTGTGCCGCCTTTCGATTAGCGAAGCCACTAGTGGTGGTAGCAACCCGCTCTTCTGCGGAATCGGTCGTAGATCGTTAGCAAAGACAGCGAGGACTCTTAATTCAACACAGAAGAAAAGCACTCATTATGTAAAAGTTCTTGCTGGGAGATGAATAGGAGATGAGTGTTTCCGTCTTGCCTGATTGGACGTGTCGTCAGCAAAGATGGCCCTGTACTGCATGACGACATCGAAGAGGTGCACTCGGTGGTGGTCCGTGAGGCGCTTGACGTAGTCGTACGGATTGGACGGGTCCAGGTCATCTATGATGTCAGCAAGCCACGCTTCCCGACACCTCAGGAACTGCACGGCAAATCTCGAAACGTGGATGTTTCGTCTTCGATTGTCGGGCTGAATTATGCGATGCTCTGGAAGGGCGTTTGGGAAGAGTAGACCAGAAACAAAATGGTCAACCCACGGAGAACGTGGGAATACCAAAGACCCAAATCGAAAAGGGGAGTCTGGAATGGTCAGGCAACACATTTTTTATAGATCAGCCAGTTTCAAAGGGCGCAGCATGAAAATGCTGCGGTCTTTCCTGAACGACGAGATGCGAACACTTCGAGACAGACTTCTGGTGCTTCTTCAGAACGTCAGGAAGAAGATTTAAGATGCAACATGAATCACCATGCGGATGAACATGATTCAGATGAGGAGTACTCTGTGCCGTCCACCAGGGAAGATCACGAGATAGTTGGGGGGATGGTGATAGACCATACCTGCAACCGCATGTCGTGCTCGCTGAAGACTGCCAGCCGCCTGAGGTACCCAATTACCCGAAGGCACTCCGGAAGCTGCACAAGTGAGAGGAAACCGTTGTCTATTGTATTGACTCGCAAATCACATATGAATCGCACTGACACGGTTTGGCGTTTTCCGCTCGACTAGCGAAGAGTTTCGAGTCTCGATGGGGTCCATCTCTGATGACGACCGAGAAGCAAAGAGCCTGCGCGCGCTAAAAAAATGCGGGCAGCTTTCAGTGAGGCTTGTGAACCTCTCTTCTGATCATGACTGACGGAAGTGCCGTTCTCAGGCTTCAAGTGTCTACATAATCCAAGAATTTCAAATCGTGACAGTCGCACTTGGAACAATCGTTTAAGTCGAGGCGTTTACGAGACGCTACAGATCCAAACAAGAGCAATTTCAAATTGTTTGTAATAGCTCAGGCAAGTATACCAATCAAGGAGAGCGTATTCGAAAACGGCAGCAGGGTTTCTTGAAGCAAATGGTCACATTTGGATCCACCAGACTTCTTGCCTGTATGTTAGACCGTAGTCGCTGCAAGAGCTGAGAGAGCATGGACTCGGTGGTGGCCCGGACCTCTTCAGCCAGCGCTTGAATGACAGGGAGTCTGCAAAGAAGTAGTCAATTCATTCGTAAACCAAGGATGTTCTGGACCATGTGAGAAAGGAGACAAGTAGCCTGACACAGCCATAGAAAAAACAAGCCCCTGGTGATGGATAGAACTGAACATGACGATAACAATGAGAAGCTCAGAATTGTGCACCAAGAAGGATCGAAGACGAAAGATGCACGTAGAGCGTTGAAGCTGCAGAATGAAGCAGAGGGATGGGCAGAAGCGTCAATTACTTGGAATGCATGGTGGCGAGTTTGGAGACGAAGGCCTCCAAGTCGAGCGCCTCATCATAGTTTCCGTTTCGGACACACCTGCATTCGAATTTGGGACGCCGTCCGAATTTCATCGCTTGAAGCATTTGGGACGCCGTCCGAATCTCATCGCTTGAAGCATTGATCTCGATACAGCCTGCGACCGCTGATTTTGTACGTGTCAATTGGTGAAAGCACAAACTGTTGAACGTGGGCTGCCATCATGTGGTAACAATATATTTATCTGTCCACAAGAGGCCTTCTCAAAGTACCTGCTATGAGAACCAACCTGATCTAGGTATCTCTTTTGGGGTCTTGAAACCGAAGGGTTCAAACAGACCCTTGCCACATGTCGATCTCTTGTAAAATCTCCATGGTGCCTTTTCTCTCTGAGAATCTGCAGCTCTGTTGAACAGATGAAAATGCCTTACGTGTCCATAAGTTGTGGAATCTCAAGAAGGTCAAGCAGCTTCGTGTGGTTGGACTGCATCGTCCTGTTCATCTTCCGCTTCTCGATGATCTGCTGTGCCTCCTCCTTGAAGTCGTTGCAGCCTTTGGTCAATCGAGGGAGCTCCGAGATCTGAGCTCCGAGAAAGTAAATCAGGACATTGCATTCCGCCGGCCTCTTAAGTCGAGAGTGAACGTCCTCTCAAAGATATGGCTCTATCATTCTTTGGTGAAGACTCGAGGGGGCTTCGGGAGGAGTCGCTCGAACTGAGGCTGATGGGGCGTAGTGTGAGATGGTGAGGTAATGAAAAGGAGCGGTCATTGGGCCTCTGAATTTCAGATCACTGCAACGCCGCACGGACTTTCTCCTCTCACCGCCTCACTCCCTGATTGCACAATCTCAAAGAAGCCTCAACCTCAGAGCAGATCTCACTCCATGATGTAACCTTGTGACAGAGACAATGCCCTCCGGTGAGAAGATTGGAGACATCTATCGGCAGCTGACAAGCTTGCAATCCTCCGCTCATTCAAGAGCAACGTTGGCACACGCCAACTCACCAGGGACCCCAAATGATTGTCAATCGCAGACAGTTCCGCACGGATTGACTGCACCGCCTGCGCCGCTGTGATGAATGCACGGTAGTGGCTTACTGCCACTTCCTGCATTTGGCGCTTGACCCGGTCTCCATCCGCTTTTAGAAGCTCAGGCTCCTGCAGCGTCAAGCAAGAACACTGTGTCACTTGCCCTTTGTAGGGAGTATTTTCCTTCACAGTGCGACAAGGACTCCGCGTATAATGGATAGTGTGCCACGTGATCTACCGTCCGGCAGAATCTTCAGACTCAAAGTCGAGGGCAAAGAAGAAGGTCATTCAAGAAACCCCAACATCTCTTTAAAGTGCCCAAGAATAAATGATGAACACCAAAGATCCAAGACCTAGACCTTAGACCTCATTACGAGGTGCCAAAAACCCCTCATATCTTGTGGATTGTAATTCACCTTGTTCAAGCGCTCCAAGCTGTAAGAGAGCAGCTCCGACAGATAGGCGTCTTGGAGATCGTCCCGTGGAGCCCCGTTCTCCGACCCCGGGTATGGCGAGCTGGCAATTGCGTTCTCCATAGCAAGCTGCAGCTTCCACACAATTCTGAGACAGGGCCTTGACCTTGCTCTCCAAAGCAAGTGCGCATGAAATGCTGCGCCCGCTGTTGAAGAATCCAACTAGGTATGTCTCGTCCTTAGGAACTCTTTCTCCGGGTCTAGAACCGCAGCTGTTTTCGACTTCGATGTTACAAGCTCGAAATTTCAGTCTCTTTGATCCATCAAGCAGAGATGGGGCCCTTTCTAATACATCTGCTTGGAGCTTGGTCCGCCATTTCGCTGCGCCAATCTCAATCCCCAATCAGTGGATAAAACTCCCTTGTTCTGCACTGATCCCGTTTCAAGCAGGATCCACCCCACCTCATAGATTTAAAAAATGCACACTGGCCGGAATAGGAATAGACATCCCAGCTCAGCCCAGCTAGAGCTGAAAAGTGCCTGCATTATAGGCCGCCATTTTTCACTTGGTTCCAGCTGACTTCTCTGCTTGGATTTCAGATAGTACCGAAGTTCGATCTAGTTGTAGTTTCTATTCATAAGCTATGAGCCGCCCTCGACAGGCACGTGCCTGGCTTGCACTTACTTCTTCACGTGGTAGATAATCGTGGATATTCTGATTGCGAAGCTGACGTGGACCATTCTCCGCCAGTCGAGCACCATCCAAAGAAGAAGCTTGATCTGCACGATTCCATTCATGAGCTTGTCGTGTCTGCACCCAAACAGAAGAGAAGGTTCGACTGCAAAGCGCGCGTCGTAACCATTTTCAGCCTTTCACTGTTACTGTCAGGACTCAGCTGCTTTGTGGAAGGGGCGCTTTTGTCCTAGCCTAGTAGCAGTGCTTTTCCGGCCATACAGCCGGTGTTTGGGAAGACGCAGGAAGTTGGCTTGAAACGAGACGTAATCTGCTGGTCGTGCGTAACTAGCTTGGAGCGATGGGTTCTTACAGGGGACCCATCCTGACAAACGGTGCTGGACACCCCGTCTCCGATGATAACAACAGGTATCGTCTAACCTGAGTATGGTACCTGTTGAAATTGTTTGCAGAAGAGTTCATAACGGAATGTTTTAATGGTTTTAGCCCTTGCGGTGTGGAAAGCAAGAATATGTGAAGGTCCTTGTGGGATACAACTCAGCTTGCAGAGAAGCAGGTTTAATCACAATCGTAGTCCTGGTCAGCAATTTGATTGGTGCCTAGGTCTTCAACCCACACTGTGCACTTCTCTATTGGTTTCTCATTTGCAATTGTTGTTGATTTTCTTTGCAGTGTGACCATCGGCGAGACTGGAAGCATCCTTCTTGAGGATTTCCACTTGCTGGATAAGCTTGCACATTTTGACAGGGAGCGGATTCCTGAGAGAGTGAGTTTGCTCCTTTTTGAAGCTCCAAGCCTTCTGGCTTTTTCTTGGGGTGCCCTTGAGAGACAAAAAACAAAGCAATTCTTTTGTAACCCTGGTTGCCGAGTCTGTTACAGCTCGCACCCTTTTCTTGTCCTCTTTCTTGCTCAGAGGTAGCGATATCAGCATTTTTTGGAGGTTGCATCAGTTGAAAGAACGAGGTTGGATAGAGTGAACGCTTAGTTGTTCTTGGATAGGAGGCCTTGCTTAATAGACTCGCTTCAGCAACCTCTTCCTTGATTGTGATGGGGCAGCATTCCTTTGGTGTGAAATTGGCTTCTTCAGTTTTCTTCAGTTTTGGAAGGTTTTTGTTACGGAACCCTTAACACTGTCTTGGCTACTTGCTGGCAGGTGGTACATGCTAAGGGAGCAGGTGCCCATGGTTACTTCGAGGTCACACAGTAAGACACCATCTGAGCTGGTCAATATGATGAGTTGGCTTTCATGTGGAGCAAAACATGGTTGATGGAGCAAAACTGTTTTTTTGTCCCCAGACCTTCTTGGGGTTGCGGTGCAAAATTCTTTCAATAAGCTCTGGACTTATTTTGTGCTGTGGTTCAGCAACTAATTTATTACTTGAATATTGATTGAGGCTGAGCACCTTGATGCCTCCTAATGAGGCTGAGCACATATATGGTTCTTTTTAGGCTGATCATTTTTGCTGCTTGTCTACAGCGATGTCTCTGACATCTGCAAGGCCAAGTTTCTGGACCGGGTTGGAAAGAGGACCCGCTGCTTTACGCGCTTCTCCACTGTCGGCGGCGAGTCTGGCTCTGCAGACACTGCCCGTGATCCCAGAGGTATGATTGTGTTGGGGGCTCAGTTTGTGAAGAAATTCTTCACAGTAAGATTATCTGCAGAGAGGAAATAATGTTTTCCGTCAGTGTGGTACGCATGAGGTTAGAATTACCATTTGGTTTAATATTACAGTATGGGAGATTGAACAATGGTTGTTTGTGCTCAACACACAGCCTTCACAGTTGCAACTTACGCGGAGACGGATCATTCCATCAAGCAATGTTTGGAATGTCTAAGTCAGTTCTTCTTCCTTTTTCTGTGCGGCCTTTCAAATTCAGTTTGTGGAAAGTGGTGGGAGGTGGTGCGCAGTACCTCATCTATCTGTACAGAGGTCCTTCAAATTGACAAAGTTTTCTTTCTTTCATCCAGGTTTCGCCGTGAAGTTCTACACTGAGGAGGTAAGAATTTGCGCTACCTTTTCCCTAAGGGGTTTTGAATGATTGTCTTTGGTGCAACCATGCTACTTTGCTGCCTCAGTACCTTTTCAGACCCGCTTAAAGAGGTTGCAGACTGCAACTTTACTAGCTTTAGAACAGAATCTGCAAATCATTTGTTTTTGTTCTTCTCTAGCCTTTCAGACGTCTGTACATTTAGTGTTTGTTTAGTGCATCCTTGCATAGGGTGTGGATCATTGATTACCTTCTGTTTTGCAATGTCGTAGGTGGCAGAGTTTAATCTTGTCTCTTTGACCTTTGCAGGGCATCTACGACCTGGTTGGAAACAACACTCCAGTCTTCTTCATCCGCGACCCCCTCAAGTTCCCAGATTTCATCCATACCCAGAAGAGGAACCCCGAGACGCACCTGAAGGACCCGGACATGTTCTGGGACTTCCTGTCTCTGGTGCCTGAGTCCGTGCATCAGGTGCGCACATTCTTGGCGCTTCATCAGTGCCTCAATTGGGTCGGGGGGAAGGTTCTTCATGATTTTGCAGTGTTGCAACACGCACAGCAGTTTCAGCATTCCAGGGGCATCTTAAATTGATATTCTGCAGCGCAAGGGGAAGGGAGAGACCTGGTTGTGACAGGACAAGTAAGAGCTGCATGCTACGTCAAAATCTTGGCCTTGTGAGCCCGGCAGGTATGTTTGCTTTAAACAAAGCTGGGGTACCAATCTTTGTGAGGACTTCGTTTGCGAGGATACCTCATCTCAACGTACCACTTTTTGATACTCAGGTGATGATCCTGTTCTCGCCACGTGGTACTCCTGATGGCTACCGCTTCATGAACGGTTACGGCAGCCACACCTTTAAGTGGGTGAACGACCACGGCAAGGCTCACTGGGTGAAGATCCACTACAAGACTGACCAGGTAAATAAGTGAATCGTGCAGTAATTTATCTACTCTGAATCATGCCTGATCAGTGTTATCAGCTGTGTAAACATCAGTTCTCGAACTTCATCCTGCTTTCCACGTTCGCCTAGTTTGTTATGAAGTGCTTCAATTTTACTTTCAAGCTTTCTCTTACCGTCACGCATGCGGGTTTTGTGCAGGGCATCAAGAATTTGACCACGGAGCAGGCCGATCATCTGGCTGGCAGTGATCCAGACTATGCTACCCGCGACCTTTCCAATGCTATCAAGAGAGGAGAGTACCCATCTTGGACCTTCTACGTCCAGGTACGAGACCCTCAATCATGCTCTGGCCTCTCAACATACCTTGAGCAGCAGGTTTTGTAGCGCCCTGCACAGCAGTAGTACTGTGTGCACGTGTCTCGAGTTGCCACTCCATGTCACATACTCTTTACCAGTTCCGCTGTTGAATGATTCAGTTCGGGCACTGCTGTTGAGAAGGCCTGTTTTGGACCGACAGCAGCAGGCATCAGTGTTGACACGTAGCAAGCACCAATGCTTGAAACCATCAAAAGTGCCAGTACAGAGCGGTTCCTAGTTGACAGAGGAGATATTGAACTCAAACTCTGCCTGAGCCCCTCACTTCTACGTTTCCAGGCGATGCCCCTGGAGGACGCCGAGAGGTTCGACTGGGACCCCTTCGACCTGACCAAGGTGTGGCCTCACAAGCAGTACCCGCTGCGCCAGTTTGGGCGCATGGTTCTGAACCGCAACCCAGCCAACTACTTTGCGGAGGTGGAGCAGGCGGCGTTCTCCCCCGCGCACATGGTGCCCGGGATTGAGCCCTCGCCGGACCGCATGCTGCAGGGCCGCCTGTTCAGCTACGATGACACGCACCGCCACCGCCTGGGGCCAAACTACCTGCAGGTAGGAAGTGGGGAATTGGCTGCTATGTTCTGAATGTGTCGCTGAGGCGTCCGATGTGACTCAATTGCTGGCGCAGGATTGGTTCAGATTTGTTTGAACTCGTGCGTCAGGTGGCAAAAGATGTTTTCACTCGCTCTTCCTGTCCTGGTCGCTATTCCCGGTGCGGAGGTAGGGCAAAAGATGAGGGTAGAAGCTTTACCGCGCGGGTTTGCAGAGAACCTCGTCAATTGCAGATTCCAGCAAGTGAGGAGCATGCTTTGTTCCCAAGGATGAAGCAAGCTGTATCGGAGTAGATTGGTATGTTCTCCTCGAGGAACAGCCCTCCTGCGAGCAAGCTCCGGCTTTGTCCGTTTTTTAGCCCTGGTCCCCGTTCTTCTTGAGTGCCTTTCCCATAGTGCACAGAACCTCAACTTTGTTCTCCGCTCCGTGCGCAGATCCCCATCAACCGCCCGATCAACCCCCAGAGCAACCACCAGCGTGACGGGCTCATGACGGTGAACGAGAACGGCGGGGCCATGCCCAATTACTTCCCCAACTCGGTGGAGGGCACTCCGGCGCCGCAGCCGCAGCGTCCCGACGTCCACATGTACCAGTCCAAGGGCGGGGCCATCGGGCGCAAGGTGTTCAAGAAGTGGCAGGAGCAGGACGACTACTCGCAGCCGGGGGCGCTCTTCCGGCTCATGCCCAAGAATGAGCAGGACCAGCTGATTGCGGTGAGCGCTGCTCGCTGTTCTGCTTCTAGGACCGGATTGCTGACGAGATAGGAACTTCAGTGGTTGTCCTCGAATTCGGCTAACGTGGGGCGTTTCTGCTGGTTATCCAGTTGGGGTGTGAGTGGTTTGGAAAGGGATGCTTTTTACTTTTGATGCGGGAGAACAGCCTCATGTCTTGTGGTCTTTGGCAAGCTTTGCTACAGCTGTCGGGTTGGCGCTCATAAAGGTTTCAAAACGGCTGACAATGGGGCTCATACTTCAATCCATTTTGGAGGACCGTCTACTCCTAACCGCGAGTCCTGCCTCAAACCTGACCGTCAGTGTATGGTAGCCGTCGGAGATCTTGATTATTGTCATACATTGACTTGGTGGAGGCTTGGACCTGATCTTTCCCTCGTTCTTGCGTCCAGAACCTCGCGGGCCACATGAGCGCAGCCAAGGAGCACATCCGCAGGCGGGAGATCGAAGTTTTCAGACGCTGCGATGCGGAGCTGGGCAGGAGACTGGACCAGGCCATTGCAGACAAAGTCCGCGGGGCCAGCCATGTCAGTGTCAATGCAGGGAACTTTGCAGTCGCCAACCTGTAAACGGCAGGTCCTCGGGACACTCAGGATGCATCTGGAAAGCAGAGTCATTGAAGTCGAGCATGGTGGCAATGGGATAGCCAGAGGCAAAGATTGAGTCGCAGTTACGTTCAAGGCAGAGACGCCTACTGTATCATGCAATCCGTGTAGTAGCAGCTAGACAACTTTGGAATGTAGATTTCGATGTTTGCATGTGTCCTGTTCATCCTGTTCGGAGGGCATGGCTCCACTCAGACTGCAGACAACTAAAATCGGTTTGACGTTTGTCCCGTCACAGTTTGTCAACACTGATTCAACTGATTGCATCTTGAGAGAAACTCTGTTCACCGTTTGCATACATACCATAGTGGAAAGGTATGAATCCGAATGGTCGAAAATGGTAATTATTCTATTGAATACGACCTCTTTTTCCGATTTATTTAATGAATGCGACCCTGAATCCGAATGTGCTCGGAACTGCTCCCCGAGCACATTTTTGCCCCATATCTGCCGCTTCTGGAATGCCCGGTTAATACTTTGAGAATCCGACGGCATATGAGCAATTATTAAATGAATCCGAAAAATCACTTTCCGAACGAAAAACAGGTAACGGAGCATTCCGAATGGTCAATAATTATTGGCTAGGAGACACTCATAGGGCGGTCACATCTACGACTTTGAAAAAGTTCGGGGCTCCCGAAAAAGAAAAGTTCGGTACCATATAACGCCTTTCGGTCACATCATATAAAGGCGGTTGTGGAGATGAAGAAGTTGCGCGCGGAGAAGAAGGAAGCGTACGTAACGTTGCAAGGAGACTTGATGGTGGTTGGAGAAGGGGGAGAGCGGCGGCGGACTTCCTTCAAGCTTGTGTCGGAGTCGCCATGGGCGGAGGAAGCTACAGCAGCCAGAGAGGCACAGTTGTCTTGGAGA